CCCTGCAAAGCCACAGGAGTGGAGCTACGAAGACCATGGGAATCCTCTTGCATCAGCATGACCTGGATGTGAGATATGGAGTCAAAGAAGATCAATTTGGAGTTTTAAGATTTGACTGCCCCACTGAATTTGGACTTGCCTGGGCCCTGTAGTCCCTTTGTTTTGGCCAATTTCTCCCATTTGGAATTGTATTCAACCAATGTCCATAATCCCATTGTATCTAGTAAATAACTAGTTCGCTTTTGATTTTATAGGCTCATAGGTGGAAGGGACTTGCCTTGTCTCAGGTGAGGCTTTTGAGTTAATGCTGAAATGAGTTAAGACTTTTGGACACTGTTGGGAAGGCATGATTGGTTTTGAAATATGAGGACATGAGATTTGGCATGGTCAGGGGCAGAATGATATGGTTTGGCTCTGTGTCCACACCCAAGTCTCATCTTGAATTGTACTCCCATAAGTCCCTCGTGTTGTAGGAGGGACCCAGTGGGAGATAATTGAATCATGGGGGCTGTTTTTTCTATACTGTTCTTGTGGTGAGGAATAAGTCTCACGAGATCTGATAGTTATAGCAGGGATTTCCAGTTTTGTGTCCTTCTCATTCTCTCTTTGCCTGCTGTCATCCATGTAAGATGGAACTTGCTCCTCCTTGCCTTCCACCATGATTGTGAGGCTTCCCCAGTCACATGGAACTATAAGTCCAATTAAACCTCATTCTTTTTAAATTGCCTAGTCTCAAGTATGTCTTTATCAGCAGTGTAAGAATAGACTAATAAGTCATGTTAAGATATTAAAAGTAGAATAGATTCTCTGCAGTCTAGAATGATTTAGATGTAATTTGGCATTGAAGGATCCTGGACTGGGTGTGCAGGCAGCTCCCTCATTCAATGAGTGATATGAGATGACTACATAGAGAATGAGCCCCTTCAGCTTTCCCCAATCCCTCCTCCCAGAGGAATGGTGGAATTTGTTAATTCTTAGCATTTCTTGGTTAAATTCTTAGCCCTTTTCACTGTTTTCCAATGATTCAGATGTGATTTAAATGTGAAGGGCGTGAAAGAGATGGGATCATGATAATAATTTTTCTCATAACACATAATTATGAAATATTATGTTGTATATCTGTTTGTTATTACAGTGTAACATCCATAAGGCAGAAACTTTGCTTGGTTTGTTTCCTACTTCATCTTCAGTATTGAGAGTGATGCCTAGTATTCAACAGTCATTCATTAGAGTTATGGTTAGTCTATGTATTGAACATGTGTTCGTTTTTGGTTTGGAAAATATGGTAACTGTGGCCATGTGATCTTGCATTAAATACATTTTAATATTTCTTTTATAGCTGTTTTAATGATGTTTTCCTAATGTCTTAGTTTACCATTGGTTCTTGGGTCTACCATGGGATACTGCTATCAGAGGTGAAAATGTAGCTCTATCTTTTTGGCAAGTTTGATTTAAACCTTGAATTCACTGTTACTTGCCTGGCCTGCAAAGGGAACTTGGTAATTGACAGTTGTATTCAAGTCTTGAAAGAACTCAGAGAGCTGGTGATTAGGAGTGCCTTCTAGCTGTCACTTTGATTTCAGTGGGATTGTGCTTCAATGCTTTGCCTAGGAGCACAAGGAGAGAGAGTTTTCCTTTAGACTCCCTGTAAAAAAACTTCACCAGCATGAAAAAAAAAAAAAAAAAAAAAAAAAGGATACCTACTGACTTACTTTTCATCTGGAATTAATGTGATCAGCAATGTCTAAAGAAGGTAGATAAGGCATCTTTTTATTTCAATAAAATCCAGATTTTCAAAGCTTTTGAGCTGCTAATCCTTCTCCCTCACCTTTGCTACTTTTTCTTCTTTGCTCCAGTGCAATGTCTGCTGCATCAAAACTACATTGCTGACATGGCCAGATCAGAGGCAAGGTGAACATGCAATGTATGATGACTGAACACCGTTACTCCACAAAGCAGTGGCAGATCTAGGATGAGGTTTGCGGTAGTGCCCCATCCTGATTACCAGAACCCCAGGAAATGGCATGAAAAGTGACATGTTGGATTATTCAGGGGATCCTGGCAGCCATGGAACTTGGAACTGTATACTCTTTAATGGGAGGCAGAACCTTTTTAAAAAAAGTCACATGCCAGAAAATGGAGGGGATGTGACTGTGTTTTCTGTTTCCATTTATAGTCTCATGGCTGTTGGATATAGCTTTACGTTGACAACTAGAGCAGTGCCTCTGGAAAGCTAGAAGGTGGGAAAATGCTCAGAGACTCAGGAGCTCTAGATTGCTAATTAGGTTGAATTTAGGCAGTGTGGCACGTTTGTAAATGAAATACTGTTATAGTAAAGGAGGGAGCTATAGTCTTCCAGCAGAAACAGAGGCAAACCAAGGTATTATATTGGGAATGCACAATTGTTTAAATCAACATTGGGCAATTTTGGTCTTCTGTATTGTGGAAACTGGCCTCACTATTTAAAATGAGAATACCAACAGAGTGAAAGAAAATACTAATTTGGAAAATGTTTTAGCCTTTGCATTTTAGAAAATAATCTTTCAAACAAGTAGCTTGTTTTTAAAAGAAGAGGTTGGGTGGACAACCTCTCACTAAATTAAAAAAAAAAAGGCATAGTTTTCAGCTGGGAGAGCCGAAGAGGTAGCTTGCTCTATAGACTTCTTTAGTTTTTCTTCTAATTTTCAGTTCTGGGCCTCAGGAAATCTTAACCTGTTGCTCTACCACTGACTTGCCATGCCACTGACAATACTTTGAAGAAGGAGAGAGAGATGGAGTTAGGAGAGATTCTATTAACATAAGATCTACTCCTTGGCTGGGTGGGGTGGTTCACAGCCTTGGCACTTTGGAAGGCTGAGGTGGGCAGATCACAGAGTCAAGAGATCGGGATCATCCTGGCCAACATGGTGAAACCCTGTCTCTACTAAAAATACAAAAAATTAGCTGGACGTAGTGGCATGTGCCTGTAGTCTCAGCTACTCAGGAGGCTGAGGTGGAGGAATCACTTGAACTCAGAAGGCGGAGGTTGTAGTGAGTCTAGATAGCACCACTGCACTCCAGCCTGGCTTACAGAGCGAGACTCCATCTCTCTCTCTCTCTCTCTCTCTCTCTCTCTCTCTATATATATATATATATATATATATATATATGTATGTATTTCCTACAGGCAGAAGGCAGATGGCTTTGTCTTGTTTACTTAAAATTCTGTATGGCAGTTTGAAGGCAAAATCTTTATTTGAGCCATTTTCCCAATGAAAATCCAGGCCTGCTAAGAGAGGACGTATAGATTGGAGGGGACAAAGCGAGATTGGGTAGAGGACTAGGCGAGTGGCCAAGGAGTGGGGCTCTGGAGCCAGAATGGCCCGTCAGAATTATTCCAAATTGAGGGGAGTTACCCCTACACTGATCAGTCATTGAAGTGGGTCACTGTGGAAAGGGTGTGACCATGAACGAGGGCACTTTGTAGCTGAAGCATTCTGGAGGGTCGGGAACCAAAGGCTCTCCATCAGCTGTGTTTCCATCTGCTGCTGGGGCAGCGGATTTTGCAAAGAAGTGGGATCTGGCTGCATAAGCATCCACACTTAGCTTCTCTGGGTCTTATTTTCTGAAGCATATTTTGTTGAGAATTAAATGAGGCAATACATGAAAGTGCTTGGAGCTGTGCCTGGCATGAAGTAAATATTTAGTGATCACTCTGTACCAAGCACAGAGTGCTTAAATTATTTTCCCAGGTCTCATAGGTGGTGGTAAGTAGTGGCCTTGGAACTGAGACCTGACTCACGCCAGCCTGTTTTTAGTCACAACAGTAAATATCTTAACATGGTAGAATTCAGATCAGTTTGGAAAGGCTTACTTCAGCCTTGTTTGCTCAGTGAATGTATTTCACATACAAAAGGCCTCCCTAGCCAAGCCTGGCTGCAGGAACTCTCCTTCCCTTCCTCTTTCCTTCTTCTCTTTCTCTCTACAGAGTTCTCTTCCCACCTGTCGCCCCCTTCTCTGGCTTCCTACTTACCTCTGTGATTGATTGGCTTGAGCATAATTTGGAGCAGGAAGCTGACCTAAGTAGCAAGGATGGAAGGAAGGAGGAGAAGTGAAAACCCTGGACTGCTCTTCTTGTCTTGAGGCTCACAGCACTCTGCCCCTCTCCCGCTGTTCCCTATAACCAGTTGCCCAGGCTTGATTCTTTACATTTAGTGTCCTATCTTAGGTCCAGAAATAAAATGCCAAGAGTATTCTTTGTGGAGTAAGTTATCTGAACCTTAGATAAATTTTACTTGTGTGTGTGTGTGTGTGTGTATGTGTGCGCACTTTTGTATCCAAAGATCTACCTTTCAGACCTTCTACAGGAACATTTTTTTCTATCTCCCCAAACTAACACATAAATGAATAACTTGAACACAGTCTGTAAGTTGTGGCTGCCTCTATTTTCTTCCTCCTTGAACTACATGTTGAAGAACCAATGAGATTTATTTTTTCTTCATGCATGCATTGAGGAAAAACGTTTGTAAATAAATTATCATATGCATTGTATTCTAAGGAATGCCATGAAGCAAAAGGAGCTGTATTTTCAAAAAGCTTACAGCCTAGATCAGGGCTGCATGACACAAAAAGAAGTGTAGTTGAATTGTATGGAATACTTAGTTCTGGATTTGCAGCACAAACTTAAAGCTGAACATTTTAAATTGTTGATATTAAATGCAACTATATACATTCTACAGATAAGTGAGAATTAGGAATGTAGATCATTTGTGAAGCCAAGTGGTCAACTCAGTGATGAAATTTACTAGTTGTTATCAGACCTACCAAACCCAAATTTATGACTTTCTGGTTCTCATTCACCCAAGAGTCATGGCAGGGAGAGGGCCAGAATTCTATGGCTTTTACTGTCTTTTTTATCTTTTTACTTACTCTTGCACAGAGGGGGAAGAGTGACTTAGTTTCATTAGTATGTTTGGAAAGAGATAATGGGCATGGGCTTCAAATCTGTCTTTTCTTTTTAGGTGCAGACCTGCCTACAGAGAGCCTGAGTTCCCCAACCAGAAGAAAGCACTTCCTAGAACTGAGTATATGCATCAGTCCAATGGTGAAGTTCAGGTATGTAAAACTCATTGACTCACAAATATAAATCACATTCTCTAATATCAGCTTAATCAGTAAAATCATGATACTCTATTTTGGATTCCACCTGTCTTATTCTTGTGTTTTTCCTTAACTGATTCAAAACCTAGGTGGGGATTACGGATGTCATTTATCAATCTCCACTCATTTCTAAAGCTCAGATGTTAGCATTTCCTAAGGCATTAACTCCAGACGACCACTTCACAGTAGATGGAATAGCATTTATTCACTACAATTCATCAGTGTGAGTGAGTGCATAGTGTGTGTGTGTGTGTGTGTGTGTGTGTGTGTGTGTGTGTGTGTTTCTTCTGAAGAGATACTCTTGGGAGACAAGAATTAGGTAGAAACTGCCTAGTTGGGTAGGTCCTCTTCAGTCCAACTAAACAAATCCGCAGTAAGCTCTAAGATGGGCTGATGGTGCACCAGACACAGGACACAGTTATTAACAGAACATATCCAAGGAGCTTTGGATCCTACTAAAGATAATGTGATGTGGGAATGCAACACAGGGGTCAGTGTGGAAGAGCAATTGTTCTTTTTCTCTATTTATAATGCCATTACTGAAGGAACAGTCCTTGGGTTAGGCAGTAGAATTGAGCTTCATCCTGCTAATAAGATTAGTGAAAGGTTATCTGTTGTTCTTCTCCTCATGCCAAGTTTTGTATAATGTATCAAGTCATTATATTAATTACGCAGAGCAGTATAGATAAGAGATAGAGATTATGTGCCCTGGAGTTTGACTGACTAGCTTTGTCTCCTTGCTTTCTAGCTGTGTGCACTTGGGAAAGTTATTTAACTCTTCCATGTTTCAGATTCCTCATAGAAGAAACAGGGATGATAATAGTACCTGCATGGTAGCAATACAGTGAAGATAAGCGAGTTAATACCAACAGAGTACTGAGAACAGTGCCTGGCACAGAGCGGTTCTCAACAGATATTAGCTCCTGTTATTATTAAATATTATCAATGATTGACCTGTGACATGGGAATGGGAAGGAGGCATAATAAAAAGGAGAAGATATGCCAGGAAGACAAAAAGGGTGGCTCTTCACAGCTCACTGGAAGGCTTTTGGTCTAAGACTTTCATCAGTCATGGTGGGAACAGATAAAATAGCAGAAATGGCTTCCACATGCAGAGAGCAAAATGAATAACTGACCAATCTGTTCATTTTACCCCAAGTTTTTGTTTTCCATCTATTTGCCGTAGCAGGAAAGCTTGCTGTTTGTCTGTCATCAGTGTCCATGTGTGGCAGGGAGAGGTAGAATGTTTTGCAGCCTTCACCAAATCCTACTTGTTTTGGATGAGTAGTGAGATATGACGCCAAGCCCTAGTGTTTTTTTTATCCACTCAAATGCTGTAGATATTTATTTCAAACACTCATTCTGACTGTGTTTGAAACGTTGGACAAAATGCTTATCATTGAATTAAAAAGGGATTTATTAAATGCCCACTAGGTACATAGATGTATAACAGAAATTTGCATAGTTATTGTATAGTTTAACCTCATAAAAATCATTTGAGGGGATCACTCTGACTGGGTCATTACATATGGTATGCATGTATCAAAGTATCAGCTGGCATGGTGGCTTGTGTCTATAAGCCTAATGACTAAGGAGACTGAAATGGGACAATCCCTTAAGTCCAGGAGTTCAAGGCTGCAGTGAGCTATGATTGTACCACTGCACTCCAGCCTGGGTGATGGAGTAAGACCTTGTCTCTTAAGAGAAATCATATGTATCCAGTAAATACTCAAAACTGTGTACATATATTATGTATCAATTTAAAAAGAAGGTTTTCTTAAGCATATAGATTTTCCTCTGATACCTAGTTAGGAAAAAATTAAAAGTGGCCTATCTAACATAAAACCACCCCCTGAAATTATTTGAGGTAAATATTGTTATTTTGGTTTTCTAGATGAGGAAATTAAAGTTTAGACAGGTAATGTGTTTTTCCAAAGACATTGAGATAGAGCTTACTGGAATTTGAATTCAGGTCTTCTAAAAATGTATTAAAATCTACACAGATTTAATGAGGTCTTACCATATATCATTAGCAAATTGTCTACTCCTTTTATGAACTTTATGAAATCTTAGAAGTACAGAAAATCATGAACAAAATCAAAATCATCTATAATATCACAATGCAAAAATAGCTACTGTTTAAATTTTGGAGTGTTTTAATCTAATTTTAATACATAGGTATATGCCCTTTTTTTCTCCAGAGAAACTCTGCTCTCTATGTTATTTAAAAACCTCCCTTTAAATGATATGTTATGAGGATTTTTTATATTTTTAAATAGTCTTCCAAAACCTGATTTTAAATTGCTGCTTTTCATCATGGGGTTGAAAAAAAATCCTTATTGTTTATATTTATGTTTTCAATTTTCCCCTGTTTTAAACAATGATGCCCTCAACATCTTTGTTCACAATTCTTTTTGCATGTCTCTAATTATTCCCTTAGATTTCCAGAAGTATAATTACTGCATAAGAGATTGTTCTGCTTATTGATTGCTGTATAACAAACTGACCCAAAACTTAGTGACATAAAACAACTACCATTTTATTATGCCCATAGATATTGTGGGTTAGGAATTCAGAAAGAACACAGTAGGGATGGTTGTTCTTTGCTGCATGATTCTGGGATCTCAGCTGATAAGACGCCAAGACTAAACTTAGCTAGGACAATGGACTGTTGTTACTAGATACGGCCTCTCTGTATTTTTGTACTTAGGTGATGGCTCAGGGCTGCAGGAGTGAGGAGTCCAGTGGTCTAAGGCAGAGGCTCATGGGCTGTATTAACTAGCCTTAGAGGTAGGTCTTGGGGTATCACTTTTGCCATACTCTTGGTTGAGGCAGTCACAATCACATCTCAGTTCATAAGAAAGGGATACAGACACCGTTACTTAATGGGAAGAGTACCAAGGAATTGATAGCCATGTTTTAAAACCACCATAGAAGATATAAACCACTTTCAGGATTTTGACATACTTTATCAAGTTGCCCCAAGAAATGTAAAAATCAACACTTCTTCCAGTTGTGGCTAATAGCACACTCTTACCTCTACTGAATGTTATAACTTTGAGAGATACTTGTTAATTCGATAAGCAAAAGATAGCATATCATGTCATTTTAATTTTTAGTTATTTGAGTACTGGTGAGATTTTACATGAATTTTTGTTCACCTGTCAGGATTTTATGTGAATTTTCTATTTTTTGCTTATTTCTCTGTTAGAGTAGTCATCTTTGTCTCATTAATTGGTAGGTGTTGTTTACATAGTAAGGCTAAATCAAGGTGTTCTGACTTAAATTGACTTATTTCACCACCACTCGTTAGCAGCTCTAATCAATATACATTTTTAGTACCAATGATGTGTAAGGCACTCTTCACTTTTAATCCCAATGCTGCTTTTCCAAACTGTGTGTCTTGGACAATTTAATAAAGCCTTTGGACCTTTGTTTCCTCCCTTGTAATACTGGTTAATAATATCCCCATTTCTTTGGTTATTGTGAGTATTCAGTAATGTCCGTGCAAATGCTTCGAAGAAGGCTTATTACATGCAAAGTGTCCAATAAGTGTTAGCGGTTACTCTTCATATTACTGCTGTCACCATACCTGGATATTTGTGAGTATTTTAGCAATTATCTAATTACTGCCCAATTTGCAACTATATGAATCTGCTAGTCATGTCAAAATCATCTGGCTTTTGATTTGAAAGAGATGCGATTGTTCTGAGAAAAGTTTTATCTTTTGCTTATTATTATAACTTGGTTCTCAAGTTTCCCAAAGGAGGTTAAGTCACTTACAATGCAGGGGAGGCTGGGTAACGTGGTTGTAGGGGCAATTTAGTTAATGGATGAGGTACTTGGCAATAATCACTACCCTCAATTGCCTTGCCAAAATAATTAGAAAGAGTGGAGGAAATAACTTGTTTCTTTGTGAAACTCCTGAGATAAAAGCTAAATTTGATGGCATTTCCTCTGTCTCTTTGATATTTTCCATTCAGTCAGACTGAGCACAGAATCAAGCCTCATAGAGCACACTGTAGAATACCAATGATGAAAGAAAAATAAAACTCTCTTCACTAGAAGCATAAATCCCAAAGGACTTGCCTTGTTTTGACTCGGGAGAGGCTGTTGAAACAAAAGGCCAGGGGCCTGGGTCTGAAAGGAACCTAGGCAGGGGTCAGCCCCCATCCTGGAATTACCTGGAATTGTGTGCCTTCTTCCCAGCGTGGAATAGCCTCTCTGAGCCCCTTCCTTCAGGAGCCTCATGGTGGTAGTGTTGGAGCACCGTGCACTGACGTATGGAAGTAGTGGAGTTGGGCCTGGCAGGCTGTAACCCCACCACCCTGGGGGCATTGAACATTTGTTGTCTCCAAAGAGGGCTTCCCTGGCTCCAGCCCAGCTGTCCCTGTGTGATAACCACCATTGCTAATATTCTGGTGATGAGCCACTTTGGTCCCTGCCTCACCGGCCTCTGATCATCCTGTGAAATATGAGTTGAGGGAGTTTTCTGTGACAAATGCCTGCTTGACTGAGCTCCTATTCAGGCATCGGGTATCAACGCTTGCCACAGACAACCCTTTCAGGCCTGCCAGCCAGACAGTGACAGATTCAACCTCCTGCTCAGACTGTCAGGGGAGTCTTGAGTCTCCCTTTCAGGCCTGGGCTTGTCACAGGAACGCCTGGCCAAATCCTGCCAGGGCTCTGGGCTGCACCTGTGTTTCCAAATGTCAGTGGGCTTGAGAGCCAGGCACTTTCCACCACTCTTCCTGTCAAGGTCAGCTGGCTGTCGTGGGGGAGGGTGAGCTCCTGAGTCCAGGCTGACCTGTCTCTTTTGTCCTTTGCCCTGCATCAGAAGATAGATCTTTCAATACCAAGGGTCCCTGGACTTGTCAAAGAAAGCATTGAAGAGATCTTGGGTAAAATTTCTCCCTGAAGATCATTAGTCCAGGCAAATTTACTTCTCTGAAATG